AGGGGAAGTGCCCGGCTGGGGGCGCAGGATCCGGAGGCAAGGGGGCTGCCCGAAGCCCAAGCGCTACCGGCTTCACGGTTTGCCAGGCAGCCTCCAGACCCTGCGCCCCCGGCTGGGCGCTTCCCCTCCTGGGCTCCAGCTGCGCTGGGGAAGCGCCGGCCGGGGGCGCAGAGTCTGGGGGCTGCCCGGCAAACCGTGAAGCTGGTAGCGCTCGGGCAGCCCTTTCCGCGTGGCTGGGAGTGGGAGGGCGGAGGGGGCGGAGTTAGGGCGGGAAGGGGCGGAGTTGGGGAGGGGCTGGGGTGGGAAAATGGGCGGGGCCAGGGCCCGTGGAGGGTCCTCTTTTTTTATTTGTTAGATATGGTAACCCTACTTACCAACAGGGAGTGAGCTGCCATCCCTTGGAAACCCTGGAGGTGGGAAAAGCCATTTTGGAGTAGGAAAAGGCAGGACTGGCTGTGTGGGGAGCTGGTGAGTCCCAGGCATGCATGCAGGGTTCCTCCAAAAATTGGCCTCTGGGGACCTGGAAGCAACATCCCTCAGCTTGGGCCTTACCCTCTCCAAGGTGACTCCCAGTTTGTAGAATTTTGTTGGGAAAATTCCCCCCAGCCAGGCTGAGTTAGCCCTTTAGCTCCCTAGGAAAAAATCAGTCACCGCATGGCACCACCACTGCTCTGGCTGCTAGTCCAGGGCTGGTGCCAGCTGAGAATGCATCTGAGCACTAGGGTAGGAGACTAAAAAGTTTGGATTTTTAGTATAGTTTTGTAACCTGCACCTTGAGCCCTGCACCCCTTTGAGGTAAGGGGAAATCCTGGGTCCAGAAGCAGCCTGATTCCTGCATGAAGAGGACACTTGATAGCAGCGATCATCAGCCCTTCTGCAGTAATTGAGGAGTCCAGAGCCATCTCTGAACCAGAGGATCATTCGCGGAGTTGTGAGGGCATCCTTTAGTTAGCTAGTCAGAGAGATTGTTTAGGAGACCCTCCTACTCCTGAGCTGTGTCCTCAAGCCAGTGGGTAAGAGTTGGGGATTTTATTACCTGCTGCCTATTAAACCTGTGAAGGGACATGCCAACTTATCCCACTTGGGAGTTTTGGGGGCTGTACTGAACCCAGCCAGCCAAGTTGCTAACTGTTGCACAGAAGATATTGTGGTCACAATTCATCAAAGGCCCCTACAAAGTACGCATACCAATGGGATGCTAATTTTTATGTTTGCTATATCAGGTCACGTGACTGAGGGAATTCATGGGTATTATCAGTGTGGGCACCATTGTCCCTGAGAATAATGTTCTACCCTGTTGTGTTATACTTATCTCCTGTTTAATATAATTACTGTGTTGAATATAGTGTGAGTGTGTGTGAGAGAGAGAGAGTTATTTCTTGGGAGTTTCCAACTATCTGACAAATAAGTGGAGGTTACCCTGTGGTTAGAATTTTCCTCACAAGCTGCCCTGATGATCCTGCCAGAAAGGAGCGGGGGCAAGGTGGGGTGGGGGGCACCTCCAAATAAATTCATATGGGAAGAAAATAAATAAGTTACACCCTACTGAGTGGAAGGCAGGATCCAGAAGAATCCAGGCCTGTCCATCTAAAGCCGCAAGGAGATGGGCGCTTAAGGAGGCAACTGGGTGGATAGGGGGCATTATAATGATATTTCTATGTACATAAAGTGTACCTCTATATTTTAATATTCTGTTTGGTGTTTCTGTTCTTCAGTGCTGTGTAATACAGCCATTTGTTAGGTACTTTAGCTATTAGAAATCAGCTTAGCTCTGTGAGTACAGTATTTTTGAAGAATACCGTAACTGTAAAAGCAAATAGGTTTCTGATCATCAGTTTTATTTTTAAATGTGCCTCCGAGCACCAAGCCATCTTTTTTGCTGATACACATTCTTTTGAGAACATACTTATACTGTATATTAGACTAACAAAGGGAAGATGGTGCTGACAATCTACCAGTGGTAGACTCTTACTAAGTTCTCTCACCTTCTCCTATTTTAAGGTTCTTGCTTTTGTTTACAAGTCCTATCTTCTCTTAAGTGTAAACCCACTTACACAAACACCCATCTCCCGCCCCCAAGCTCCTGTCACTGGATGTGACAATGCCAAGTGCATATCAGGACAATTAATTGCACCATGAGAGCTTGGAACATTAGGCCCAGTTGTCTGTACACATTTGTATAATGAAGCCAGGCCACTATTAATTCCATTTTTTTAATTGCCTTATCTACTGTTTTTCTAGGGATGGGTTGTTGTTTTTTTTACCATAATTGGGAAGGAGGAATTCTGGAGCAAAAACATTTTTTCCAAACTGCTCAAAGCTGAATCCAGTTTTTCCAAGAACAAAATATTTACATCTTGAAACCACAGAAAATGTCAGTGACTCCTAGAAAATAAGAATCCTCTGAGGCTTCCCATGACAACTGGGACCCAAACCATACAGCAGAAACTGCCTAGATTTGAGTAACCTTGAGATGGGTTATGGTGCTTTAAAGAGAAAACATCTGTCTCAAGGACTGGGGTGCCCTTCCAACACCTGACTGATGGGAGACCACTTTACCAGTTACTCCATTTTGTCTCAAGTTCTCCCATCCCCCTCCAATCCCCAATTCTCTTTTTTGTTGAGCCAACAAGAGTGCTAATTGAAAACACTGTGTGAAAATTAGAAGGCAGATGAGCTACTGAAAATCCCAGACCTAGATCCACAAGCTGTTCCCTTTCATAAATAGCAGCAGTAATGCCACTTCTTTATTCTGCTGGGAGCTCAGTCATCTCTTAGAACTACAGTCCGTTCCATCTGGCTACCCACTGGAAGGACAATGATCTTTTAGCTTAAGCTACTCTGTAATGGGGAACATGTAATTAATTGCACTGTGCAATATCACAAAAGGTCACGACCAGGAAGGATGAAGACTTCTGCCTTTATATTTGCAGACGAACCCCATCTCATAACACATTAAGTCAGAATTTTAGCTGCATTTATACATGCCATTCATAGCGCAGAATATGCTGGAATGTACGGTACATATTCCAAAAAATCCAGGCCAGTGTACTTACAGCAACAAAAGCAGGTAAAAGATTCAAGCCCAGAATATTCAGATCGAAATTGCAACTTTTGTCAACCCACAAAGTATGCTAATATGTATACAGCATGGGGAAGTATATTATAGTGCAAAGGTTGGGTTGTTTTGTTTGCTTGCTATTCATCCAGTCTTTTATTAAGGCTTTTCTAGATGGTAAGCAGCAAAGCAAAATTTGCAGAATCGTGATCTCTGAAATACTATAAGCATATCATAAAGATGTATCGGATCATTAAACCTCAGCAAATGCTATGTGTGGCCTGACCCAATTATATCTTGCTTAATTTATCTGTATAACTGCAGGTCCAAAAGAACACAACACATAACCAATTTGACAATTTCTGTGTGCTACAGACTTGCTAAGTGTCCATAGCAAAAAGGGAAGCAGTTTTAATTTTAGGAATTGGGATTAGCTGGTGAATAACCCTTTGGTGATAACAGGATTTCTCAATGACTACCAAAACTAGCAAACACTCACTGCAAAATTCTTCAGATTCATCATGCTCGACAGAGAAATCTTCTTGTCAGTACGTCAGACATGCAAAGGAATGTTCCTCCTTCTCTGTTCTACTCCAGACTTTGACAGTCTTATTATTCATCTGATACATCAACCAAGATGTTGAACAATCCTGCGACATACCAAGCACTTAAGTCTCCCTTAGAAATCAGGGAGGAGATTTTCAAAGCCATAAATGGGAGTAAAAACACCCAACTTCCACTGAAAATGGTTGGGCATCTCAATGGTCTCTGTGCCTTTGAAAATTTCCCCTCATTTATTTCCCGGCTTGGTGCAATGGATGTGGTGTAGGTGCTGGTAAGCAAACCAATTGGAGCAAGGGGGTGCTTACCCAAGTCACTAGCGATCAAGCCGGTTTACAACCTCTCGGACTGTGGCTATGAGATTCTCATTCTCCTGTGGGTTAGCCAGAATAATACTGTGCAGTCTGTTCATGTACGAGTCAATGGTGTCCATTGTGGGGGTCTCCCCACTGCCTACAGTAAATATAGTGCAAGAAAGGAAAAAAAGCCACAGAATATTTAGATAACTACAGCAGTGTCAAACATTACCATTCTAAGGAGCGTTTGCGTCAAGGTGAAAACATATTGCACACAGTTAGACCCAAAAGAAATGTTACTGAAATAAAGCATAAATCTTTAGCAACAAAAGCCCAGATCCTCAAAAGATATTTAGGTGCCTAACTTCCATTGATTTCAGTGGAATTTAGGGCCAAAGGGGTCATATGGCAAGGGTACACAGCAGTACTGTTCCCTTTGTCTGCACCTGTAAAAGACCCTCTGGGACTAACAGCCTCCCCACACAAAAAAGAGAAGAGAAAACCCCCAATACAGAGAGTAATTGTATTAAAAAGTTACAAAACTGGGAGACAGTACCCTTAACTCTAGTCCTCATCCTGCAGCCATTGTCAGGCTCCAACTTGCAGCACAGGAAAGGTTTAAAAACGGACCTGCAGCGTAGAATTAGTAAACCAGGCCACAGAAAGTAAATTCACAGGAACCAGTGACATACAACTAACAGAAGTTGGACTTAAGCAGTGGTAGAGAAGCCCCATAAAGAAATGGGGATTACCTGGTAGTGGGACTCCGGCAAAGCTGCTGGTGAGTGCTTGCCGTAAGGTCTCCAGATGCTGCTGCAGCACTGTGTTCCGGCTGCGCTCCTGGATCACATCCACCTCCAACTTCTCCACAGCAGTGCGCATACTCTCCACGTGCTTCTGCAGGGCAGCATTCCTCTCCTCAAACTCCATGTTGGATTTACGCAGCTGGCGCAGCTCTGCTTCCCGTGCTGTGAACACACCCCAAAAAGGTATGAAATAACTGTAGAAAGTAGCCCTGTGGCAGTGAAGCAGAATGTTCAGGGACGTCCACTCAACTGAGGATGATTAAAAAACCAGTGCTATTTTGGGCTACATATGAAGAAGCATCACACCACAGAACAGCGAGTTGATAATGCCTAGAATTCTGAAGTTAATTCTGAATTCAATTTAATACCCGAGATACTGACAAATTAGAGTGAGTTCAGAGCAGAGGAACAAAAAAAATAGAGGGATTGATTGGGGAAGGAAGATTGAAAGAACTACTATGAATACTTTCAGCACACTATAGATCAGCAATATAGTGACAAAGGGGCTAGAGACCAGCAACTGACTACAAGTATTAGCAGGGTGTACATTTTAGGTGCCTGAAGTTGAAATTTATTAGAGTGTGGAATAATCTCCCAAGGGAACTGGCAGAAACCCCATCACTTGAGACATATGAATCTATTAATATAAAATCAAACCCCTATAGCAATGGAGAATATATTGTAGAACAATTTTGGCTGGGGTCATGGACTAGTTGGCCCAAAGAGACTTTCTCTTGTCTAACTTCTGCTAACTAGCGCACATTATCTGCTCAACTATTTCAAATATTTCCTCATTCTAACAGAGCAACTGCAGTTGGAAAGACTGGGAAAATAGCATCTATATGAGCTCGCCTACAGCTTGTACACCAGCACCATTCTCCACAGAGAATCCTGTTGGAAGAGGGTAGGCCTGGAGGACCTATCTGCTCAGCCATTATACTCCTAAGAGATACTGTAACCTTACTAACACACTGAGCCATCTGACTTCACTCTTTACGTAAAGCACTTTCTGTGGCAGGACTGGCGAAAACACTGCATGAGTTTAATTCACCTTTGCTGTGATTCAGGAACTCTTCTGTGAAGATTGGGATATCAAAAACAGACCTCTGCTTCGTGTCTGCTTCTTTCTGCAGATAGAAAGTGACACAGTTAAATACTGCAAATTCTCAACTGCTAATAAAATAAGTGACAGATCTATCAAGAAAATGAGAAGAAGGATGGAGAGGATTCCAGCAAGCCCCTTTCTCTAAAGAAGCTATTGGGCAAATCGAGCATTGAACTGGAGATGACAGGGACTCCTATTCCTAGAAAGCCACAAGGCATTTGAGAGATACAAGGGAAGTGAGCGTTTAACAAATGTAGATCTCAATGGTTCAGATATTTCATATAACCTGCCACCTAACTTTTTTACCTTAATGAAACTGCACATTACACAAGACTTCAGTACTTTCATAATTATTCTCATGAATTCATCCACCTCTCCAAATTACTATACTTCAGAACAAGCCTCTACAGCAAGACAAGATGGCAGATAAAGTAGATGATAGTTATAGTAAATTTCACAGCTCTGTTTTTGAGACTATCAATGCCAAGATAGCCAGTGAGAGAACAGGGAAAGGAGCTGAGAAAAGAAAAGGGAGAACCTTGCAGTGGGTCTTACAGTTCCTTGTTTCTGTCTGTTAGGGATTGCAGAAGGTGCAGAGGTGACATATTCTGCCTCAGAAATAAAGACAGGAGCTACACGATACTTTAAATGAGCCATACCTTTGCCAAGCAGACTATTATTCAGACAGTTTTTTTATCATGGGTGAAAATAGACAGACACAATGGTACAGAATTTGAGCAAATTGCTTATGACTAGCAAGGATGAGGTGGTTTGTTTTTCATTTTCTGGCGGGGGAGAGAGAGGAAAAGGGAAGGATGTTTGTGTGTGCTTTTTAAAAAACAAATGTCTGCTCCCTTGCACTCTTCCGGGTTCCTGATTACAGTGGAACTCATGCAGATCTCCATCATTGTGGGAATGACTCCAGTCATTCAGGTTTGTACCCTTTGCATGCTGCAATGCCAAGCTCTGCAAGGGCAGGGTTCGTAAATCCACAACTGTATAGGGCATTGATTGTTTTCTCCCAGATTACGAGCACAGGAGCATCAGAACTGCTGCAGGAACTATGACCTGGGGGATAATTCACATCCCACCACCTCAAACACACGTGTTGTCAATCAGGTGTACATTAGGGGTTATAAGCGTGTATGTTGGATGTTGCCCCTAACTCTCTTAACAACACACTGTTGGCAGGTGAGCAGCAAAGCAAAACATACAAAATCTTGACCTCTGAAGTGCTGTCTGCTGACAGTTCCACTATTAGGACTCCAGTAAGTTTTGTTGTCCTACCTGTGCACAGAAAAGAAGCATCAAGAGATCCTAAGTCTGTGAGCAGAGAAGGTAAGTGGGAGACAACACTAAGCTGAACACTATTTGCAACAATATTTGCTGAAGGTCATCTTTTGCGGTCCAAGGACTGCTTTTTCTGCTAGACAGAATGATGGTATGTAACTGCACCCTCACCTATTACTTAATTGTGTGTAGTAATGACATGACTGCGCCTTGGGAGATTGGGTATGAGTATATAAAGGATGTGGCAACAGACTAGCCAGTGTTCGTACAGATTTCAAACTTCTAGTTATTATATCCCCAGATTAGGTGTTTTCTAGTAGGATGTGGAGGGAAGTGAAAAGAGAACAGAAACTATAATACTGAATAGTTCTGAACCAATTCCTCAACTTGGGTCCAGCAGGGACTGTACTGATTGAGGTATCATTATTATTTATTAAGTGTTGATAATGTGTGTGGTGGAGCTAGGCAAATTTTTTTGGTGAACAGTTTATTCACCAAAAAATGCAATTTCAGTTGACACCAAACTCTTTGTGAATGTGTGTCAAGTTCACCAAATAGTTTCAAATGAACTGGGGGAAAATGAAATGGTTCAGAAATGTCAAAACGAAATGTTTGATTTTGAAGCAACCCAAAATTTTTCATTTCAATTACCGGCATTGTGACAAAAGCAGAGGACTAGAATCAAAAAACAGGAAAAGGGAGAGGAGGTGACAGTGGCAAAAGACACTTTTCTAATCTGTAGTCTAATGGTTAGGGCATTCGCTAGTGATGTGAGAGGGCTGGGTTTAATTCCCCACTCTGCCTGGTGTGGAGAAGGAATTTGAACTTCTGTTTCCCCCACTGCACGAGAGTGCCCTCTCCACTTGGCTATGGGATATTCTAGGATGGGTCTTTCTCAGCATTTCCTGATGAAACTCTTCCACTGTTTTTAAATAAATAGTCACTGAAGCCAAGACTTTAACGTGGCCCTCCCACATCCCAGGTGAGTGCTCGAAGTACCAGGCTGTAGAGTAATTCTCGCTTTCTGTCCCTGTCCCAATGACTATTCATTGTCATACACAGTGGCAATTCATAGTCATTCATATTAACAACGAAGTTCAAATCCCTTCCCCACATCAGGGAGATGGGGGAATTGAACCCACAGCCCTCTCATATCACTTGTGAATTCCCTAACCGCATCCCAGGTAGGTGCCCTGCCCACTGAGCTAAAGGTTATAGGGAGGCTGCTTTCTCCTTCTCCTCTTCAGGTCAAAACAAACACGTTTCATTCTGATCCCACTTGAAATTTTTGATTCATCAAATATTTCAACAAATTTGGGGTTTGGTTCAACCCAAAACAATTTTTTTGGAATTGCCAATGAACCAAAAAAATCCATTACTCACTCAGCTCTAGTGTGCGATGTTGTACAACACAACAAATGAGACTGTCGTCTTTTAAAATTAGAATTAAAACAAGGAACATGACCACCTGGGATCAAACATCTAGTAGTTTTCACAAGTATAGTGATATCAGCACCTGGTACCCTGGTCCAATTAAACTCAGATAATTACATTCTGGAAATGTGGTGTAGTGGTGGTGTTCTGTACAGTTAAACAGCTGTCACAGCCTACCCAAGAGATGACTACATTTCAGTGGTAAATGAAGCGATCCCAATTTATGGTTTGTGTGTCTATTAAGTATGCAAACCATTTTAAAATCATCAAAGATAAAAGGTGCAATATAATTTGAAGATTTTTTTTATTTTATTTTATTTTTATTATTATTAACAGAAAAAGGACAAGACAGACAAAATGTAACCCTGATGAGTTATTATGAAGACAGTTTTTTCTTTAGGGATTTCTAAAAAGTAGTTTAAAGTCCATATTTTTAGCGATGCCTCAGTCATAATTTTTACAAGTCAAAAGTAATAAGAATAAATGTTTGTTTTCAAAGTATATACTGATGATGTCAAAGACACAACAGAGCTTTCTTGGTTGATAAATTGGGGTAACTATAATCAAACTGCTGCTTAATACAGGAACAAAGATAAGCATTAGAGAAATTGCTACTGAAAGCAGAAGGTTCTCAAACCTCTAAAACATCTTGGCTGGTAAAATGCACCAAGAAATCATTCCTTCAAAACCATGTTTAAAGCCTGAGATAAAATGCCTCTCTCCTGCTTCTGCCACCACTATGGTCTTTTATATTTGAACACCTTGGTCTTTAAATGAAATGTCAAACATGATTTGGTACCCAGCAGAAAAGCTAAGTGGTTAACAGCCTATCAGGGAATTCTGGCAGCTAAGCTTAGTGTTTCATATTGGTGTCTGGCTCATAAAGGGGCTAGACTGGGGTGAAGCAACTGCCATTTGGCAGTCAGCCAAGATAGACCTGGCTAGATGGAACTTCAAAAACCTTCCAAGTGTTTACCTGAGTAAACTGTCAGAGTCGGTTTATTTAGTTTTTACTTTCTTTTTTTAAAAAGTAAAGCAGAGTTTCATAACGTGGTAAAATTGCAGCTGGGAAGCCCTAAATTCAACAAGAGAGCACAAAGCTCACATGCTACACACCAACTGGGCTTGTACTCAAGACTGAGAGCAAAAAAAAAAAAAACAGTCCTGATTTTCTGAGGAGCTGAAGAGATGCAAAAATGTCACAATGGCTTTCTTTATCGCACCCATTATCTACCCAAATTCTGATGCAGGTTACTGCAGGAAAAAAAAAAAAAATCTCAGGTGTGTATTCAGAAAATGAGGAGTCATGTACAGCAACAAGCCTGTCAATGTATCATCTGATCTTAACGTCCTCTAGACAAACACAGAACTCCGAAGTCTCAGCAATAACACACTTCAAGGAACGCTGGCACTTATGCAGCTTGCCCTCCAAGTGCTTTTTGCTCTACCAGCCTAGACAATTCATGCTTGATACTACTAGCTATGTGCTGGAGGCATTGGCATGGACCAGTAATGGCTCCTACAGACTGAAGGGCAGAGGAGAGGGTATTACAGACATTATATATGGTGCCCCAGGGTAGAGATTCTTCAGGTACAAAATAAAAAATATTAAAGCAATTAGGTGAAATTGCTCAGTCTCTGAAAGGCAACTGAGAAATTCTACTTAACGGAAGACTGGTAATGAAAACCCATCAGCACTCTTCCATTACCAAGTACATTACCCAGCATGTAAAGGATCCTCTCGGGGGCTCGGATATACTTAAGCCACTCTGAGGCTTGCTCAGGGGATTAAAATCATAAGGATTTGATTACCCCTTCATTGAAAAGGCTTAATTTGTTCAGGCTGAGTGTCATTTTCTCATTTCTCATAAATTAAAGAGAAACAAAAAATTTATTGTTTCTATCTTTGTCTTTAAATGAGATGGAGACATTTCCAGAATGTCAGCCTGGAAAATTATTCATTGGGCTGTTAAACTGGGGTTGGCGTTAGGGGCTTCAGAGATACAGTGGACTTGAAATTCTTAATAGGGATAGAAGATTGAGGGTATGTGGGGAAGGGGAGAAAGAAGGGAGAAGAGACGTCATTTTGAATATCATCCCTGCTATGGTCATATGCGTACCTCTCAATGCTCTGCATTATAATGAATACTCCCTATTGGGTAGACAATTTTTGTTGTGCTCCACTACTCTGTCAGGCCCTTTGCCCTGCACTGTACTCTACCTTATAGATATCATCAAGCAGGCCCTCCTCTCCTTAGAGTGGATTGGTCACTTCATGGAAGCCTTGCCAGTAAGGAGGCATGTTTTTCTAATTAGATGCATGAAGCTGGAGCTATTCTGGTTCCAACAATTTCAGAAAAGGTGGAGCAGAAGAGCAGGGAAAGAGAAGAATACAGAGAGAACATAGAGAGAAGAGAGGTACTTATGTGCTTCTGTTTTCTTCTGCCCACAAGAGTGTCATGACAGGCCATACAAACAGTGCAATGTGATAAGGGAAGGGAAAATAACACCACTGTAGAAAGTCTTATTACATTTGAGATTAGTAAGGTCACTTTTCATTAGTGTGAAATATTGAGACTATAAACACAAAATCTCAGTTATTTTAAACCAAGAATAAAGTTCACAGCAGTCACTGTTCATCATGTATAATATTCCACATAAAAATTCATGAATATGGGATTTATGTGAAGAGTAATCTATATATTTTATTGTGATTAATTCAAATTTACTTCATTTTTTTGTCCTTTGCTATACTTTTTGAAGGTCATTGCTATGCACATGCACTGTGTTTATATGCTAAAGTGATATCAACATTGTCTATGGTAGCTAAACTATTACCAATGAGGAAAAGCTTCCTTGACCCAGAGGTGCTCCCAAATTTTTGCAAGAGATAATTTAGCAAATCCTCTCTGATGGTCATAGAACTACCACAACAGCAAGCAATGGTGATTAGAGGAAGGAGAATAGGACAGGGATCCAGGAGCTCCTGAGATCTTAAATCTAATGATGACTTGCTGTGCAATCTTGGACAAGTCACTTAGCCTTTCTGTGCCAGTTTCCTCCTTTGTAAATGGGAATTACACTACTTACCTACATTAGGCCTTGCGTACACTTGCAGTGGCGTGTAGGGTATGCATAGCTACACGCTGCAGTGAAAGGCAGGCTGTGTGGTATATACCTACATGTTGCAGTGGAAGGCTCTGGCAGTGGAGAGGCTAAAAATAGCAGTGCAGATGTGAGAAGCACTGCTTGCGTGTAGGGTATACCCCCTAAGGTTCTAGCATGTCTAATCTATTCGTCTAAGCAGTGCCTCACTGTCTACATTGCTATTTATACTAGTGAAAGCTAGGCATGCCATGTCTGTACTCTGCACACCACAGTAAGTGTAGACCTACACCTTAGAGAGGTGTTGTGAGGATTTATTAGGTAACTTGTGCACAGAGTTTTGCAAATATGAAAAGGTAGAAAATCCTGAAGGGGAGAGGAGAGGAGGCTTTCAGAACATGGTGCCTAGTCGGTGGAGTTCCTAACTCCACTTGAGCAGTCCCTGCTTGGATGGAGCATAAGAACACCATAGGGATGTGCAGGAGGGCAACTCTCCTCCATGAGTGCATTTAGATAATGATGATCTTTCAGTAATCATATTACATAAATTGAAGGATAAGAATTAATCCTGTTTGAATTTTTGAAGTGACTTGTCACATGAACACTGCTGTTAAACAGAATATTTATGTAATCTAAGTTTTGTACAAGTACTATATTACTGACTGGGACAAGGTTACTGTGTTTTGTGGGGGTTACTAGTAAAAAGTCAACTCCCACGTGGCATGCAGATTTAGGCACTTCATATTAGACATTTTAAGAGTCCATCTATTTCTAAAGGTTCGTCTGATAGGGGAATACTTGGCTTTTGGGGTCAGTGGGAGAACGCATCTGAGCTGAAAGCATCCAACCAAAGCTGCTCCCTGGAAATTAAATGTATTACCCTTAAAGTAGACAGGAGCAGCAGAAATTAAAAAGTTGCAGTGGCTTGGCAAGTGGCCATCACAGTCATACTTCCAATAAACCCACCAAGGGGTACAGAAACTGATGACTTTCCCTGAAAAGGAGGCTGGCTGAGAGCTTACAGAGGAAGAGCATTGGCAGGAAAGTCTCTTGCCCATATAGAAAAAGGGGATGATTCATCTACTTGTTTTTTTCCTATTTGCTTGCTGCAGTTTGGTGACTGTGAAGGAAGCACCTGGCCTGGGACCCTATGTAAAATGGCCCTTGTTGTGTTTGGTTCTGTTAAAAGATTGACAATTACAGCACTTGGGATAACTTTGTTGTCTATCAGGATCCAGAAGGTTTAGTGTCTGTTTTACATCAGGGAATCTAGAGTCTTGTTACAGCAAGGCAGTATTTTTCATTACTATTCACTTATTTGGTATGCTAAGAGGTGCTACAACAGGCCTCCCAACAACTTGGCCATTCCCCTCCCTTACCTTGGAAGAAACCACATGGTGGTTGGTGTACTGGAACAATAACCTAGAGGTGCGACTTATTTGTGCATGATCAGTCTATGTCTCAAGCTGGCCATAAGGATGTCCTAGACATTACATGCCAAATTTTCAAAAGAACGGTTTCCCATTTGTAGGCCTTTCTGCTTCCAAAATTTTCACCTGCAATTTTGCACCTGAAGTTGAATTACACGTACACCTCAAGTACATAAAAGACACAATTATTCTGAGGTATACTCAGAATTTGTTCTGAGGTTCCAAATCACAGGTGTATGTTTTGCAATGCAAATGACACCTACAAAAGGGCCCTTTTAAAAACAAACCCTAAACTCCATTTCCATTTTGTTTCAGATAGCTTATGTGACAGTGTACCCCATAAGGATTTATGGGGGGGGTGCTTATAAATGTATGTACGACATAACTGGAATATGTTTTGTGCTGCCTGTGCCATGTAATATATCTCCGTAAAGGTTAGGG